GCGGCAATTTGTGATTTCCTCCGGAGACTTCCATGAAGCCTAGTAAGTGGTAAAGTGGTGCGCAAGCCTCCAAAGCCCGGAAGGTTGGCATACCCGTGCTGGAGTCTCACGCCATGCTGAAGCACCTGGACACTTGGCTCGGAGAGTTTCGGACATGGGGCGTCTTGCGATTTGTTGGGCGTTGTGCCTTTACGGCTCTACAAAGGGAAATTCGGAGGAGCAGAGCAATGAAGGTCGTGGCCACAGGAAGGGCTCCTGTCCTTCAAGCCCTGAGTTCCCGATGCCAGGCTGGTCTTGGCTATCAAGACGCGGTTCGTCTCTGTACAAAGGCAGGACCGGTCTGCCATGTAGTTCGCTCGCGCCGCACATTGCTGGTGTGCTGGCATGTCGGTGCACCTCCCACAAATCTGCAGCACGTAGTGAGAAGCCGTCGTACTGAATCAGCTTAATTTCTCCCACATTTCTGTTGCGGGTGAGTTGTTTCTATTAGGAAGGACACATCTGCCCTTTCTGCCCTTAGAACTCCCGCTCTCTAGACCCATGAGGGATCTGTCCTCGACGCTGCACAGGCATTGAAAGAGGTCAGCAGCGTGTTTGGCGAGGCACGATTTAGATTCAATCTTGTCTTCGGTCGCCATAGCTTCTGCGCCCCGGCATGCCTGAAACAAACCAAGTTCTACTGTCAGTCCGCAAGTTGCAGCGACATATCGTTTATGACTGTGAGCTGTGAGCGCAGGAAGCTATGCCAATGAATGTCAGTGCGGTGCAATGTCGATGCATGGTAAGTACATGGCATGCCATGCCATGGCACCCGTGGTATGGCATCAGTGAAGTGTATATATCTAGTTTTCCTCGTATGTATACATCTCCGCTTCGCTGGGCTTCACAAATAGGTGTGATACGTGATGCGGCGTTGTAGCTTCCGCCTGTCGGCCAAGCTTTAGAGATGCTCTTGACCCTGCTGCACGGTACGGGAGCCTGGAGACTAAAAGTCACTTTTTGGGTGTTTTTTGGATCCCAGAATTTCTGGCACTTTTCCCCACTCTCAGCGGCCCTTGCTCTCCCGCTTGCTGGACAGGAGCTTTTCCACTCCGGCGCGATCGGAGACAAGATGTTCTTCGTGGCGCGGCGGTTTTCATGGGGTGTTTGCTTTCCTCCTTTCTTTTTCCTCGCAAGCAAAGGCCCGAATTGATTACCGGTCTATGTTGGAGGCTGAACTTCCTGTCAGAAGAGGGCCTCGCCTTGGATTCCTCTTGCGCCACATCCCTCAAATCAAAGTCTTGAAGGTCTGGAAGCCTAGGAAGTCGAAAACAGCTTCAGGAATTGAAGCACTGCAGGCCCTGCAGGCCTACAGTTTTCTGAAGAGATGCTGAGGTGCGCAGCGGGCGCCTGAACTACACGTGGGAGCTCAAGCCTAAGGACAGGGAGGGATTCAGCTCAAGGCTTCTCTGCTCTGTTTCAGTCTAGATGACAAGAGCGCACAATCTCCCAAGACAGAGTCACGTCAAGCTGATGGACACAGCCTCCGTCTTCGAGCCCTGATGAAACGGAGGAGATCGAGGACGTCCTGCCACAGGGCCGTGTCGGGGAGGTCCCTCCGCCTTCTGAGAAGTTCGCAGTTGCAGGGAGGTGGAAGCTTGAGAGGCAGTTGGGGCCCAGTTGGGGCCCAGTTGGGGCCCAGTTGGGGTCTCTGTGGTGGCATGTGGTGGCGTATGGCATGCGTCCAGCTGGACGGATCCCTTTGCAAGTCGCTGCTGGCTCCGAAGCAGTCGAAGCTCGCAAGCCACAACAGTCCCAGACCCGCAAGGGCCCCCAAGGCAAAAGATATCTGAGCATTTTAAGTTTTAAGGATTCCTTGACCCTTGCATCGAGTCGCCAGGCTACTCTCTGGCTGCAGGTGGAGTACTGCGGGCGCCTTGCGTGTGCGGACCACAGCGACTGGGCTGACTGCAGAGCTGGTCCGTCTCTACTCCCGTCGACATGAAAAATGAAAAAACATTTCAGGGTCTCAGGCTTTGAGGGTTTTTCAAGTGGGGGTTGGGCTACATCTCCGCGCTCTTGTAAAGCACCCAACCCCTTGCAAGATTTTTCTGCGCTGAGCGCTTTCGCCTGACTGGCTTCTCGAATCTTGTACCGGAAAAGTGTGCATTGTGCTGCGCTGCTTCCTCACATACAAGTCGGCAACCATAGTCGGACTTTTTTTCACAATCCGAGGCAGATTCGGGTGTGCTGACTCAAGTTTAAGCGTGCGGCGCAGCAGTTCCAAAGACTTCTCACTACTCTAGTCGGGTTTCGGATTTCGAGGTCTTCACAAAGAAGCACTTCGGACTGTGCTTGGCCCGACCACTGTACTTCCATCCGTCCAACCCTCACCACCAAGCTTGAGACCTCGATCGGGACTTCGCGAGTCACTTGCGTTTCCAATGCTTCATTGACAAGTTTCCCCGCCCAGCGAACCCCGAAGAACTTTGAATCGGCTCAGGCGCCCACCTCTTTTACCTGGATGCAACAGCATTTCGCAAGGCTGCGTGAGATTCGGGGATGCTGAGTAGAGTTTTCCAGCGCCCCACGGGTCTGAAAGGAGCCTAGTCCAGTCCTGCTCCCTGCAGGTTCTTTCGAAGAGTGAGAACATTGAAGTGCTGACCGTCTACGCCCGTCTCTTCAGCAAGCTCTTCCTGGTGCGCGGTAGTATCAAGGGGTGCACACTTTGTGGGCTCATGCGGCAGGCGGCAGGGCACAGATTTGAAGACGTTTGCGGGGAGCTTGTACTTCGTCGGGACGGGTCCCAGCAGATGGTGCTCAGCATCGATGCTAGCATGCTTGTAGCTTGACAAGCAGAAGCATCGCAGGAGCAGAAGGATATGGGCCTTGCCTCCGACCTCTTCGGCGACGACAGCCACGTTTCAATGCTTATGCGTCGGCTTCGCACCCTCCAGGCCATGGGTGGCTGGGAGTGCTTGGAAGTGAAGCTGCTGCTGACCAGGTGCTGCACGCCTATTATGTGAAAAGAGGTTTAAATCCTTTACTGTGCTGCGTGGGCACCTTGCAGTACTGCCAGAGCCAGCTGTGCAACATTGAACCTCCGACTTTGAGTGGGGTACATTTGTATCTGACATACACACACACACACACAGACGCGGAGGAAGCTGGAACCCTGCAGGTTGGAGCCAGCATCCTCATCACGGCGGACGCAAGCATAATCACCGCCAAGCCCATCTTCCTAGCATGGAAGGCAGGTGTTCAGGATACCAGGGGCGGGGGGGGGGCGGGGGGACTGCTTCGACTGCACAGCACAGCCGCACAGCCGCATCTTGTCTAGTGCCGATGATGGGCGTAGCCGCATTCAGTGTGCGCAATCGGCCTCGAGTCCTCAAGACCAAAGCGTATGACGCGACCGTGAAGTGTGTAGCTGTGTAGCCAGGCGGCGGCCCAAGCGAAGCACCAGCGGTCGAAGGGTCTCTGTTGGCCCTTCAATCGAGGCTGAGATTGCTGCTTTAGCTGCTAGGCTTGTTTTCAACGCCTGACCTTGGCTCTGTTGGCCCTGGATGGATGTGCGACTAGTCACAAATAGGCTGGTATTAATGTTGCTGTCATTGTAGGTTTTCAATGTCGGCTCTTGTTTCCTGAAGAAATGAGATAACAGGCACTAGTAACGTGATCGAGTTATTTCGTCTCTGGTCGATTCTTATCAGCAGTATGATCGTCATCACTCATATCATCATGAGTGGACGGTAGCCCTGTTGTATCTAGTAGGTGTTAATGCGATACGACCGATATCAAGACTGACATGAACATATTTGCATGGGTATCGATACTCACATTGTTTTCGGTCTTGTCTTCGTTTCGGGTTTCTCGGTCAAGACTACGAGTAGTAGGAAGCTTTGCTGATGCAAGACAAGCGCTCCCTTGATCCGAGCCCCTTGATCCTTGCACCCTCAGCCGGGCACAGTTACAGTAATCTCATCCAGGGTATCTTGGGTCAAACGACGAAAGATTCTGAGGAGGTTGTATTTTGGGGCGAAGAAGCCCTGAGCTCTCCAGCCGTCTGCTTCTCGAGCAAAGGCCTGAACGGTTGAAGCTGCCTTAAGAAATCTTTTGCAGTATAAAGGGGAAATCAGCAAACGACTATGGCAATGGTATAACTTCCGCTTTGTAGAGATTCTGTTAGCCCTGGAAGAAGACGGCTGTGAAGCGGTTCCTCCTCGACCAAAGGGCCGGATTCAAGACTGCCCGAGTGTTCGGCTGGCCAGGCAGCTTATGCTAATTTCTCTCAACTTTCGTGGTCAACTTGAAAAGCTGAGTGGTAACTCGGGAGATGTCCTGGAACGCGCAGGCAGCCTTGAAGAGAGGCCCATTTCAGAACACCTGCAGACTTATGTGCATCGTTGGCGGATCATTTCAACAGGGGTTGGACCACAAGCAGGGTCACACGAGCGGCCGAAAGCCCCGGAAGCATCGGAGACCTCCAACACAGTCCTCAGCTGAGATCCAGTTGAATTCCCTGACCCTCCCAGTCTAGACAGTTGCGAGTTTTGCAAAAGCAACCTCTGCAGGTGACCGGGCATGCAGCCTTTCTCACTAAGTGCGGCTCTCACCTCGTAGAGGTCAGATGCCGTTGATGTTTTATGCAGACACCCCCGTGCATTGCTTCGAGATCCGAAGCGGTGTTCCAAATCTGGACACTTCCACTCTTGAGGCGACACGGAGTGCCGGAGGGAGCAAGAAAGCATTTGTTATAAAGAGCCAACACACACACACACACAGCATTGCTGTCTTTCTTCCATCCGCGCAACAACTGCTGCTGATAAATTTTCTGATCCGAAGTGATGGACCCTCCATGAAAGGCAAGAGCTGTGCCGTGTTTGCTTTCCAGACCTTCGGCGGCTTTAGGGGATGGAGTGTAGGGTTTCGGGGTGAGAGGGTCAGGGATTTTCAATCTGTGGTTCTGCCTACATTGCATGTCAAGGAGTTAGAGCAGTTTCACCAAGTGCGCATTGGAGGTGCAATGAAGCAATTCCAGACGCTGCTTCCAGGCCAGAGTTCGGTTGCCCTTGACGAGTAAGTTCGGAACCTGATTCTGTCGGTGCGATGATCCCGAGCAAGTGTCCGAATGCCTTGCTTCGACCATCACGAACTGTCGTATAGGACCTGATACAAGGCTGATGTTCTTTCTGCCAGAGAGGGAGTGGTTTCACTGCGAGATCCGTAAGCTTGCAGAAAGACACCAAGAGAGGCAGCAGTTTTCTAGGTCGCCATAGCTTTTCGTGTAGGTTCCGTCTACTCGAGCGAATCATCATACATTCGTCAGCGGCAGTTGAGCAACAAGAACTCCGAATTCTCCTCAATGACATCCCCAGGTGCAAACCTCTTTGTCGAATGTGGAAGTGTGATTGAGCCGTTGACGGCTAGAAGACAGCCGCTTGCCTTGACATCTCCCGACAAGTCAAGCTGAGTTTTCTCAAGTCTCAGAAGCCTGCAGTCGATGGGAAGAGGGCGAGCCGAGAGCCGCCTTACCAGAAATCAAAAGAATCTTCGAGTGTTTGTCAAAGCCTTCGAGCAGAGCTGGCTAAGCCCAAGCTCTTTGTTCCTTCCAGCCTGCCCTCCTGCCAAGCTTTTTGTGGCGACCTGGATCCGTGGCGACCTTCCCGCAGCTCAAGGAGCCCCGAAACCCCAAAGCCTTCAACTCAGAAAGCCTAAACCCAGCAACAGCTTTAGAGCCCAGGCAGCTGAAGACCCGAGGATCACAGAGGAACGAGGCACGCGGAAGCTTGAGGAGGTCATTTTGGGGTTTGGTGGGGCGTATTGGCTTAGAAGGTTTTTCGAAGCTGAAGTGACTGCTAGTGACTGCCAGTGACTGGTGACTGCTCTCTCTCTCTCCCTCTCTCCCTCTCTCCCTCTCTCCCCCTCTCCCCCTCTCCCCCTCTCCCTCTCCCTCTCCCTCTCCCTCTCCCTCTCCCTCTCCCTCTCCCTCTCCCTCTCCCTCCCCGTCTCTGTCTCTCTCTCTCTCTCTCTCTCGTATGCCGGCCGGTCAAAGCAGACCACTCAGGGCATCCCTCCTTCGGCCTCGGTGTCACCTGACTAGCAACGAGGCCAAAGGACCGTCCGAAGTGAGGGGTTCTGCGTCAGAGAGAGAGAGAGAGAGTCTGCGGAAGCTGAAGAGTGCCAGCAAAGCCTTTCCGATTCGAGGCTCCAGAGCGCCAGAGCTGGACCCAAGTGACTGTGAGGCGTTCTGAACAAGTCTAGGCGTGTGAATCCTTTGCAGCTTCCTTCCGCATCTGCTCTCCAGGAGCCATGCCGAGATCCTTCTCCACAAGGCGGTGAGACACAGCAAAGAGACGAGGAAAAGCTTGATGGTCTTCAGGGTTGCGTTATCGCTGTGCGGCAGCCTGGAGCTTGTCCCGCCCACAGGACGCGACCGTGCGCGTGCTTTTCTACTCCACGGAAGACGGAGGGGATGCCCTAACCAGAGGCGTCGATTCGGCTGAGTGGTGACGGAATTTGACACAAATAGCTGCACACGGCAGTGGGATGCAAAGTCTGTCTGTCTCTCTCTCTCTCTCTCTCTCTCTCTCTCTCTCTGTCTCTCTCTCTCTCTCTCTCTCTCTCTCTCTCTCGCTCGCTCTCTCCCTCCCTCCCTCTCTGTCGCCGCATTGTCCAGTGGTGCGATGGTGGCGCGGCAGAAGTCTCACTCAGAAAGCATCGATTGGGGTGCTGCCGCTGCTGGTCGTTGCTGCCGTTGTTCTGCTGTTGCTGTAGTAACGGCTCTCCCGGTCATTCCAAGAACAACTACGGGGACCCTGTAATAAAGCATGGTGGCAGGAACTGATGAGTCTGGCAGCTGGCAAGATACTCGATCCTCATGCCAGTGTTGATATGATGGATCTCCTGTTGGCGGCTGCGCCGAAGCCTCAGCACCTTCAACCTTGCAGATTCAAGCAGTTCATGTCATCTTAGCAAAGTTGGTTGCTTGGCGTTCAGGTGCCGGATTTCATGCCACGGAAAGTATCGCACCAAGACACTTCCCTTGCGTGTGGATTGGGAGCTTTAGCGGTTCCATTCGGTAGCTTTCGGTAGTTTACTCAGTTTAGGATGTTTAGACGGAACGAAAAGTCCTTCCCGAGGGCTAACAGCATCGACGGATACCTGAGGGCAAGAACCCATTGGTGATTCAGAAAGTCTTTTCTATTGTCAACGGAGGCCACTATGCTCTCCTTGCTGCGAAGCATCCCGAACTCAGCCGCTTCTAACTGTTACAGGGCAGACTCCCAATCCCTGACTCCCAAAGCTAAATTAATTGAACTCGCAGCCTCCCGCTCTTTGCATCCGCCTCATGCTGCAGTGGCTGGCTCCTAAAGGAAGATGTTCCAGCCTGTCTAGCCAACGTAGGCCGTGACCGTGACTTCGAAGAGGTCCGGAAGATGCCGACTGCAAAGGAGTTCATTGCCAAGCGGCTGCGAGAGTTTGGCGAGTCGCTGCTCAATGATTATGAAATCCTCCTCGCAGGGCAACTGAGGAGGGTCCAGGAGGACCTCAACCGCCTCCAAGACTTTTGGGCGATTGCATATGATGAAGCCTTAGTAGTTTGATCGACATTCCACAGCTCTCAACTGGATCGGACGGACTCAAAAAGAAGCCAGGCCCGTTTAGGCCCCCGTCCCAGCAGCCACCGTGCAGGACGTGGAAGAGTTTTTCGCCGCGAGGCGGGAGTTGCAACCCCAAAAGGCTTGTGCATCCTGCTTGTCTTTGAGGTTCCCTGCGCTCCGATCGCTTGTCCTGAGCCCAAACTCTGCATCCTTCAATCCCGCAGCCCTACTACGCCCCAACCCCTCCAAAATGAAGCCGCGACAAGCCTGAACTCTAAGCCCTCAACCCTGACAGCCTGTTCGCATCAGCTTCCGACGATCTGCTTTGGAAATGGGACTCGACACCAGCCCTGAGCTGCAAGGCCTCCGGAGGCTTCGGTGGCTCGAGAGGTCAGCAAGAACAGCAATCGAGTTGTGGTTCGCGGAGCCAGCAAGGTGCGAGGGAGGGTCATGGCGGAGGAGTTTGGAGTTTATGGCCGGGTCGGGCTTTCGGGGAGCCCTGAGGATCGCTGGCCTCGTAGAATCGCGAACCCCAACGTTTCGGCTTCTCCTTGGACCATGTCTTAAGACTCCAATTCCAGACTCTGCTTTGCATTCGAGTCCTTCTTGTCTCAGGCCTACTGTATCTGCCGGTCTCTCTCTGTGTGTCCGTGTTACACGTTTCGACTGCCCCACACAGAGATGTGACACGCCGACGCATACACGTGAGCATCCGTAAAGGCATGAACTGTAAGAATGGGATGACCTTGGAAAGTTACATGTGGCCATACCCTCGAAAAGCTACAGGACTCCCCCCCAAAGCGATATGTTCAACATATGTGTCTGTCGCGAAGAGACAGTCATGTCATACCATGTCCCTGGCCAATGATTGGAGAGAGCATGCTCTCATGGCTGTTGGTGGACGCTACATGCATGTACGCATCCATGTAGAAGTACACAAGGAGGCAGGCAGCATATCTGGGCCGCCCTTGAACCAGGCCAGCACCAGCAGTCTGGTGCCGAAGCCGCCGGGCACGGATTCCTTGAATCCCATCACAAGTCCCGCAGAAGGGTCGCCATGGGAAGGGGACCTGTGGAAAGTGCAGGAGGACGAAGCGAATGAGGACTCCTCCCAGTGCCAAAAGGCCTCAAGCGATGACATAGTAGGTGCTCCAAGTGCCAATTTCACAGCTTCTGCAGCTCCAAGCCCTCCGACAGGACGAGTCTACAGGGCCGACCTCTGAAGCGAGTGACAATGACGTTGGGAAGGGATTTGCCTCATCGCCCCAGACGTCGCTGCTCTTTCCGGAGTCTCCGAATCCTGGCCAAGAAAGCATAGTTTTGGCGATGATGCTGAAGTACAACACGCTGCTGGTGAAGATGTTCGGAGTTGACGATGATGAGATGCATGACCGCGGCATGCGAAACACTTAGAGTCTTAGAGCCTTGCATTCGTTCCTTAGTTTGAAGCGAGGAGTTAAGAGCCGGATTATGGCGCTTCGATTCAACTTCTTCAAGCTGTGCGAAGCTTGCACAATGCCCATCGCTATTCCTACGCTTGCTCGGGCCCTACACCTGTAAACCCCGAACACCTCCCAACATGGACACTTACTTGCAGCCTGAACCCCCAGAATCTAGACTGTTCACCTTCCACCGTAGGTTTGAGCCCGATGAAGTCAAAGCCTCCCGAAGCCATGCAGGAAGAGGGATGGTTTTGCGCCCCTGATTCCCCATGGCATCTCTGAGACCAGTGTCAGTGGCATGAGCATTAGCGTGACTGAGCTGCAAGCCGTTTCTATGCGACTGCACCCGTAAGACCGGCAGCTATGTGGATTTTCAGAGGTGGTAGTACATCTATGAACAGGCAGAGTTGTAGAATTGCACAGAAGTCACGACAGCGGAGGATTACGACAATTTGTCGCTTGTGGCTAGTCACGCGGCTGCTAATCACTGAACAGCTGTAAGGTCAGTATACCTGATCCGAGAGGAATTGATCTACATTCCGTCTGGACCAACGATGACTTCTCCCGCTGCAAGATCGCAAGCATACCTTTTCTGTGGGATTTTACAGTAGCAAAGCGTTGCGAAAGAGCTACAATCTAGTTCACCGCATCGTGCGAGGGCATGAGTTTTTAGCTTACAAACCGCCTCAGCTGGAATCATTGACGAGGGTCGCCAGCTGCAAGCTACCCTTTACCATCCGCAACACACCGGCTCGGTACGGCACAGCGCTACACACCCAGGGTTTCGGACACAGTGACAGTCGTAAATCTTTCAAGCTCAAGATGACTGCCTCGAAGAAGAGGCCGAAACTTGACAGACCTCGTGCTCAAGCCAACATCTCCCGAGTCCAACAGAGAAAGAACCCGAACTCCCCAAGCTCACGAAGCCGTGGTGAAGCCTTCGAGGACAGGTCTCCAAAGCCTCAGGTGGTGGACTTGGCCAAGCGCCTCGCCACAAGAGTTTTCTGAAACCGCAGACTTAGCAGCCGACATTCCCCAAAGTCTCGAAGTCCCACAGCCCGAGCTGCCCTCCGGAAGACAGAGCCTAGGACTTCATCGGGCGTTTGTCTCAGAAATCCTCCATCCGCTCGGGCCAGATGGTGCCGCTCCGGACAGGGACCTGATTCTAAGCGTACTGCAGTCGTTGTACCGGCAGTGGAGCTGGAGCGTAGTGGCAGCGATAGCAAAGGTGGCTGCAGTGAGGTGGACAGACAAAACTTGCACAGACCTCAAAAAGTTAAAGAGCACAGGCTGCGTCGCATGTGGATGGGACAATCACAGGGCCCATCATCGTAATGGCGCAAGCAAGTGTGTAGCAATTCTTCGAGAACGAATGCTTTGTACAGAAAGGGCTTGTCCTTGCAAGAAAGCAGTCAAAACCCTAATTCGGACTACCATCCCCATCCCCAGGTACTGGAAAAAGGGCTGCTGCAGAAAGCCGTGATGAGGTCTTCGCTCGAGCATTTTTCACCGTTAGCTCTTTTCGGCTTCAGCGTGAGAAGTCTCGGGATTTCGCCGGACGCAGACTTGGACAGTGGGGTGTCAATGATGATGTTGTCTGACAAGTAAAACAACAACCAGCGCAGGGAGAGCAGTTTGCCCTCTAGTCCAAGCTTGATGTCTTAGGTGTGGCGTATGGGAGATCGCGGGTCTACAGTATTGTTGCCTGATTTGTACGAGTTCCATCAACTAAACTTCAAGTGCGCTATCGCAACATTATGGTGCAGTGTTGCTTACTTTACTCACTAATGGGTGTTGCATCGTGTGACTTCTGATTGAACAGAGTCCCATTCTGCATACGAAGGCTTCAACATGTCAGAACCATGCTGGGCGAGCTGTCGACCAAAACTGCTTCGAGGCCAAGCAGCCTGCGCTGCCTGCTGTGGGACACGATCTGCACCATCACGATCGTGCATGATGCAACTTGGACAGGGTCAGTATGCATGACGGAGTCTCGCGACTCGTGCGGACGACGATGCCAACGACGATTGGAGACAGTGGTTCTGCTCTCCTTCTCG